CCCCCCGCCCCCTCCGCGCTCCATCCCCCGACGAACAGGGGTGGACCTAAACGGTGTTTTGGCGATTTCGTGGGCCGTTTTCGTTTCGACTTCGTTTTGCGTCAAAGGCGGATTGAAGACAGAACGAGGGAAAACGAACAAAAACGATAACGAAGAACACCGTTTAGGTTCAGCCCTGCCATCGAATCCCCAACAGCGCCTCGCGGACTGTCGCTGCCCGCCCTTGTGCGTGGATGTCACTTGCAGAGCGGCCCCGTCGTTGGCTCCTCTGGATACCGCTCTGACGCCTCGATGGGCTTGCACGGCTCGAAGCTGGTGGAGGAGGAGGAGGATGCGATGGAATGAGAACGGAGGAGGTACAAGGGATGATGGTGGTGATGATAGCTGATGATGGTGCTGGTGGTGGTGAAGATGCTGCTGCTGATGATGATAATGCTGCTGTTGATGCTGATGATGATGTTGGTGATGATGCTGCTGCTGATGATGCTGCTGATGATTCTGATGATGGCGATGCTGATGGTGCTGATGATGGGGATGATGGGGTTGATGATTGCGACGTGGATTTGGAGGATGATGCTGACTTTGATGATGCTGATGATGATCATGGTGATGAGGATGAGGATGGTGATGATGGATGGTGGTGATAGTGATGGTGATGATGATGCCGATGACGATGCTGATGATGCTGATGATGATGATGGTGCTGATGATAATGATGCTGCTGCTGATGCTGATGTGGATGGTGATGATAGGGATGTTGATGCTGATATTGAGCATGGTATTAATGACGATGGCGATGCTGATGATGCTGATTCCGATGACAACGACGGTGGCGTTGATGACGATGACGATGATGATGATGATGACGATGATGATGATGATGATGATGCTGATGATGGTGGTGATGATGATGATGATGATGCTGATGATGATGATGATGATGATGATGATGATGATGATGGCGATGTTGACGACGATGATGATACTGATGATGATGATGATGCTGATGCTGATGCTGATGATGACAGTGATGATGACGATGCAGCTGATGATGATGCTGATGCTGCTGCTGATGATGATGTTGATGATGATGGTGCTGCTGCTGCTGATGATGATGCTAATGATGATGATGATGATGATGAAGCTGATAATGCTGTTTTTGCTGCTGATGATGGTGATGCTGATGATGAGGATGATGCTGCTGCTGATGATGCTGATGATGTTGATGCTGCTGATGCTGATGCTGGTGCTGCTGCTGATGCTGATGTTGATGCTGCTTCTGCTGATGATGGTGATGCTGATGATGCTGATGATGATGCTGCGGGTGATGATCATGCTGATGATGATGCTGATGCTGATGCTGATGATGCCGATGCTGATGCTGATGCTGATGATGCTGCTGATGCTGCTGCTGCTGCTGATGATGATGATGATGCTGCTGATGCTGATGATGCTGGTGGAGGAGGAAGGAGGAGGAGGAGGAGGAGGAGGAGGAGGAGGAGGAGGAGGAGGAGGAGGAGGAGGAGGAGGAGGAGGAGAGGAGGAGGAGGAGGAGGAGGAGGAGGAGGAGGAGGAGGAGGAGGAGAGGAGGAGGAGGAGGAGGAGGAGGGAGGAGGAGGAGGAGGAGGAGGAGGAGGAGGAGGAGGAGGAGGAGGAGGAGGAGGAGGAGGAGGAGGAGGAGGAGGAGGAGGAGGAGGAGGAGGAGGAGGAGGAGAGGAGGAGGAGGAGGAGGAGGAGGAGGAGGAGGAGGAGGAGGAGGAGAGGAGGAGGAGGAGGAGGAGGAGGAGGAAGAGGAGGAGGAAGAGGAGGAGGAGGAGGAGGAGGAGGAGGAGGAGGAGGAGGACAACGCTTCCCTTGTCTGCCTCCGCCCCTCAGGAGTGGCGCTGCCGCCCCTCCCGCTCGGGCAGCCTCCCCTGCCCAGCGGGCAACCCCCGCTGCCGAGAGGGCCGGCGCTGCCACCGGGGCAGCCGCCCCTGCCACCGGGGCAGCCGCCCCTGCCTCTAGGCCAGGGGCGGGGGAGTGACAATCGAGTACAGTCGGGCCTTTTCCATCCAATCCTCCCCTCCTCCCTTCCTCCCCTCCTCCCTCCACTCCTCCCCTCCCTCCACTCCTCCCCTCGCCTTCTCTCGTTCCTCGCCTCCTCGCTTCCCCCTGGCGCCTCGCCTCCGCTCCTCGCCCTCCGTGCCGCCCCACGACCCCCCTCATGAAGCATCATGCAATCAGGGCGCATACGGCCGGACCGAGGTATAAGATCGAGGTCGGTTCGGAGAGGGTGCCCTAATCTTCTTCGTGCTTGTTGGATGCTCTTGTGCAGCCTGGGGGAGGGCACCCTTGGCTCTCACTTCCTTGATGTTCCTCTGTCCGGTCCGATTGTAGGCGATCGGCTGCAGAGTAGACTAGGGGATTTCCCGCCGAATCTCCGAAACATGCGCGTACTGCTCTGTAGACCTACGACGCATTCTGCGCATCCTCGTAGATTCGACGAACGAGTCACTTCTGGGGTAACTCAATTCTGTGGTCGATCTCCTACTCAGGGCAAGGAGGGGGGGAGGCATGGAGGGAGCAAGTGATGGAGGGATAGAAGAACAAACATCGGCATAAGCACAAACTTTCGACGGTCTGCACGGCTTCCTTGGATCGGAGTTGCGCCCCCTTGTCGGCGCCTTCGGCGCCGCCCCCGGCGCGCTGGGGGTCCAGCCCCGATCGAAGAAATCAGCGCGAACGTCCGAGATATCACGTTTATGCAGCTTTTTTTTTCCGAGGCGGGAATTTATACATGACCACCGCCTGGAGGATCAATTGTTGGTGACCTCGCAGGCGGCGGCGCCTCGTGAGACTAACATCCCTCGCGGTATATATATATATATATATATATATATATATATATATATATATATATTTGGGCCCCCGGGGCCAAAATATATCCATATCCACCGCCCGCTGGGGCACCAGGACGTCGTTTCCCAGGCGGTGGATATCTATAAATCCCCGCCTCGGATTTTCTGTTCCCCTATTCTGAAGTCGGGCCTGTCCCTCTTCAGTCTACAGGAGGAATATTCGAAAATTGCGAAAAAGAAAGTCAGTTGACGACGATTTCTTGACTACTTTTGAGTAGTTTGGAGTATTTTTTGGGGTATTCCTGATTTTTCGCCCAAACTCCCCCTGTGGGGGGACGCCCGACCTAGCCCTGCTCCCCGCTCCTTGCCTCCGGCGGGCGTGCGAGCGCCTGGCCCGGGGGGGCTGGGCGGCCCGGCCCCCCCCCCCCCCCCAGCCGCACCAGCGGCTCCTCCTCCGGGTGCTCTGCCCGCTCTCTCCTCCCCAGCCGCCGCCTCCCCCTCCCTGAGCCAGTCGAGGGAGGAGGGTTGCGTCGGGAGCTAGAGGTCAATCTCAACATGCCGTGGAGGCCCATGCCACGAAGCACCCTGCTTGCGTTTCGATGCTTCTTGAGCCAGGCAAGGGAGGAAAAATCACCCGGGCCGGACAATCGGCGTTTACTGGACGGCCCTGGGTGTTTGCTACACAGCCCTGCCCTGTTCGATTCCTTATTTGGGCGCTTTTAGTGGCTATTACGGGGAGGGCGGGGGGGATTTTTTGAACTCTAGACAGGCCTGGGGTGCAGTAGCGCGCGTGGTGGAGCGCAACCCCAATGCCTGGGAGTCACCCCCAGGCGCGCAGGTGGGGCCGTCCCCGGGCCGAGGCGCGAGGGAGAGAGGGGAGGGTTGCGTCAGGAGCTAGAGATCAATGTCAGCATGCCGTGGAGGCCCATGCCAAGAAGCTCTCTGGTTGCTTCCAGGGTGCCCTGGCTTTCTTGGGTTTCGATGCTTCTGCCACGGAAGGCGTGACGCTCCCAGCACCGAAAATGGATGGACGTCCTGGGGTCTCTGGGTTGGATTTCTTGTGGAACGTTTCTTGTGGTCGGCCCCAACTGTAAGAGTGAAGTGTGTGTGTGTGTGTGTGTGTGTGTGTGTGTGTGTGTGGGGGTCGTCGTCAGTCTGCGGGCTTCCATAGCACGCGCGAAGAAGCCCGACGGCGCGCCGATTCTTGCAACCTTGCACAGCGAGGCATGTGCCGATTTTTGTGTCAAGACTTTGTTGATTGGTCACGCGGGGGGGGGTCGCGGATGAGTCGCGGGGTGGGTCGCGGGGTGGGTCGCGGGTGAGTCGCGGGTGAGTTGCGTGCGGGTGGCTGCTCTCCGCTTTTCGCGCGCCACTCAACATGTAGGCCTCCGGACCCTCGATACCCGCCCTCTTCGTCTTCGGTCGCACCCCTCTTGGGTGGTATACCGTTCTTGCCTGCCCCGTTTAGGTGGCGTGACCGTTCAAGTAGGAAAAGGAGGGGGCACATGACAAAACCAAAGGAGGAAGGGACGTGGACATGAAATGGGAGGGGTGGCGAAAGGATGTGATGAACATTGAGGACGAAAGACTCAGTAGGAGGGGGGGAGAGAGATGGCGGAGTGTAACGGGCGGGCTGGGCGGGCGGATCTTGATGGATTGGACGGGCGGGTGAGGCGTTTCAGCGGGCGTGCAGGCTTCCAAGCAAACAGACAACCGGGCACCAGCGGGCAGGCCGGGCGGGCGGACCGTAATGGCAGGCTTGCCGAGCGGTCATCGAGGTTGCGTTCGCCCTGGTGCTATTGGATTGTGTTGCTTCGCGTTTTCTTTTGTTTCTCTCTTTTCTTATAAACAAGTATGAAAATCTATGTATATGTTTTGTCTTATTGCATAATTCAAGATAAAAGCAGCTCTGTATACAACAGTTTTAATTCTTTAAGCGGTTTAATCATACGGAGAACAAGGCAGGTTTGCCGAGCGGACCCGAGGAGGCGGGGCGGGCGGGCGGACCCTACGGGGCGTGTCGGGCGGGGCATGAAAACGGGAGTGCGGGCTTCCGGCCGGCGAGCCGGCGGACCCAATCGGGCGGGTCGGGCGGGGGGGCCCGTGCGGGGTTTAGTTGGTGCGATTCGGTTTGCAGGTTTTTCGACTCAAATGATCAACCCGATCCATTGCAAACAAACATAAAAATACATTATATTCGAAATGCACGACGGTCCCGTGACATGATTACGATACCGCGACCGCTACAATGCCAAGCAAGAGTTTGACGGAGGGGAACGCGCGATACACCTAGCGTGCACAATGCGATACTACACGATGTGGAGTGAAAGCTGAACTTCTCGTGATACAACGACATAATCGGGATTCTTGTTTCAAGTGCGCGAAATGATGCAAGGGGCGTTATGCGCGAGATGATGCCCTGCCGCGCAGTGAAAGATGTCAGCGCCTTCGGCGCTTCATCGGTGCAGGGCTGGTGACACGCTTGCGCTTCTTATTGATCGTCGCCTGATCTTTGGCGTCGCTCCACTCGACCAACGTCGGAGCATTCGGTATCCGAATAAGCCCCTGTAGAAGATGGCGCCGCAACACAGCCATGACATGGCTGTGGCAAGATACAGCCTTCTCACTTGCCATGCCTGAAGGAACTCTTTTCTTCATGTGCAATGAGAAAACCTTCCCAAACGAGAAAAGGTCTAATATTACCTCGCAACGTTTGCGAATTGAACTCATCACGTTGGCATTGTCTGACTTCAGTTGGAACATGACTGCCTCATTGGGAGTGGCTCCACAAGAGCAAGACAATCCTGCTTTAGCCTTGTAAATGGGAATGTTTTGATAGTAGAAGAACTTCGAAGCCGACATGTATCTCGTGAGCAAATCGGAAACGGTAGACTTTGCATTGCGGCCAGTAAGCGGTCGTTTGCAGGACCGCTCATGCTGGCTCATTAGCGCCAGAACATCAACGCAATACTCGCGATAGTTGTTGTATGCTTTGGCCTGGTTAGCCGAAGTCTGCAACCGCTGGTGCGCTCTGCGCAGCTCGGCAGGCCGAACATCAAGTGAAAGTGTGCGATGCGCTCTTGGCCGGGAAATGTCAAAATAATGTTTCTTGGTCAAACTGGTCGGAGGTTTCCTCTTGAATTTGATCACGATCTTCCTAAACATTTTCGACAGCGGGTCGCTTTCTTTAACAAGCTTGACGAGGTCCATCCAAGCATGCAGCGGGTCGCCACCGACGCATTTCAGATTCGGGAAAACCTTTTTGGCATCCACCGTATTCCATTTGTCGGGCGTGTCAAACAGGATGATTTCAGCCTCGCGCCTCTGGTCGAGGGTTGCGTTGGCTTTCATGAAATAGGACAGCTCAGGTACACCCTCGTCATACCCTGGCTTACACGACGCAGGGGCTCCATCGACGATCATTCCATGCGCGCAATGGATAGCCGAACGGTCGGTGGACTCCTTTTTGGCGTCATGCTTTTCTTGACCCACAATTGACAACGCATACTCGTACGATGCATCAAACGACAGAACGCGAACATCCAATTCATCAACGCACCGCTTTTTGTAGACTTGTGAGATTGCAACGCCAGCCCTGACGATCTTCTCCCAGACGGGCGCGCATGGATGGAAGCAGAAAGCTCAACTCGCTGCCATTGGAGATATAATGCTTTATCAGGAGATCTTTGACGCGCCGGTACTTACTCTGCGTGCGAGCATCTGTAAAAGAGACGACGAGGAGCAAGGCTTCTGGGGTTATGTAATAGTTGCGGGTAACTCGGATGCCCTCCTCTTCAACAGTGAAGCGGGGCTGGCGGACGTCGAACAATACGTGAGCACGAAAACCGTTGTTGGTATTATGCATTTTATGCACGCCGATGGAATCCCGCAGAATCTTAGCACTCCGCGCTGCAGGTATGGGCCACTGCAATCCTCCTCCGCCATCGTCAAGGCAGACGCATTGCATTTGATTTGGTCCATCCTAGCTAAATACTCGATGACATTGGCTTGGCGCCCAGAAGTTTCTCGGCCGAGCACTGCGTCTTTCAAGGGGTGCTTTTTTGTGGTCCTCCAAGCGAGCTGAACACAGAAAGTGGCGATTCGGGCAGAAGGGGCATCGCCGCGGGTTCTCTGCATCCCTGCACTGGTCCATGCCCGTGCTCCGCACCTCGGCTTTCAGCTTCCGCATGATTTCTGATGGACAGCCTGTCCGACCGCCGCATAGTGAATCACCTATGGGGCCCTTCTCGTCGGCGCGGATCGCGTCGTTGACAGCGGCAACGCAGAAGAAACCCATGCCGGCATTGCTGCACATCTCTGCTAATTCATCCTATGTGATGAGATTAGCCTGGCCGCCCTGAAAGCTGACGATGCTGTAGCTGCCAACTAACAGCGAATAAGCATGGCCTGCGCCGTCGTCAACGAGGAATTTGCCGCCTGCCAGCACGGTCTCGGATGTCGCTCGGCTCACTCCCGTCCCAAACAGAGCTAGCATTTTGCACCCATCTGCAAGAATCCCAAACGGCCCTTCGCCTGGCGCGGCTACAGGGAAACCAAGATCGTTGAACGACAAAGGCACGCATATGTTCGTAGGACGGCTTGTGGAATTCGTTCGCCTGCAGTTGCTGGAATCCCCTGACGCATTCGCAAGCTCCAACCCCATCTCCATGCCGAGCTGCCTCATATCGTTGGTGGTTCGGGAATGACGACCAGGGTCCCCCAGGGCGTCGCACCCCGCCATGCGCGAGCGCTCGTGGGCAGCGGTAAGCGCTAGCATTTTTTTCCCCCAAACCTCCAGCAAACTCCTCTTGGCTCCCTTTTGGCTCCCTCTTGGATCTCTCTCATTTCCCCATTGGCTTCCTTTTGCCTCCTTATCGAAGGATTCCTGTAGTAGCAAATTTTCAAATGATCTCCTCCTGTTGCGGATTGCAATGCGATTTCCTTTTGTAGAGGATTACACTAGGATTTTTTTTGTAGCGAATTACAAATGTATTCCTTTTGTGAGAGGCCCAGCTGGTAGTGACCCAGGACCCAAAAGAAAAAACAAAAACTTGAAACCATTGAAAATTAGGAAATTATGCGATTTTCAATCACTTTCAATGACCTGAGCGTAAACTATATAAAAACACAGCATGTTCCATCTCCTGGAAGCCCAGACCATATGACAACACAGCATTTTCCACCTCCTGGGTGCCCAAACCTCATAACAAAAAAAACACAGCATGTTGGAGATCTGATGTATGAGAATGCTGTGTTTTCGTATGGTTTGGGCTCAACAGAGGTGGAGCATGCTGTGTTTTTATATGGTTTGGGCTTCCAGGATATGTTTTTTTTTTTTTTTTTTTGTTTTTTGTAAAAAATCGCTCATATCATTGAAAATGATCGAGAATCGTATAATTTCCAAACAAAAATCAATGATTGTTTTTTTCCCCCCCCTCTTGGGTCTTGGGTCACTACCAGGTGGGCTTGCCACAAAAGGAATCAATTTGTATTCCGCCACATAGGGAATCCATTTGAAATCCGCCACAAACAAGGATCAATTTGTAATCCGTCACAAAGGGAATCACATTGTAATCCGCCACGAAGGGAATCAATTTGTAATCCGCCGCAAAAAGAATCCATTTGGAATCCGCCACAAAAGGAACCAATTTGTAAGAGAGAAAGAAAGAGAGAGAGAGAGAGAGAGAGAGAGAGAAAGAGAGAGAGAGAGAGAGAGAGAAAAAAACATCAAAAAAGAGAAAGAAAGAGAACCAGCGGAAGAGAAAAGAGAAAGAGAAGGAGAAAACGAGGCCCGAACGCAGAAACCTAATCACACCAACTAAACCCCCTACCGGGGGGCCCCATCGGGCGGGCCGGGCGGGGCAGCGAAAGGAATCTCGTATATTGCAAGAATCAGCCACGTACAGAGGGGGGTGGGGGGAGGGGGGAGGGCTTCTTAGAAACACCCCTGCTTCTTAGAAGTCGGCGGCCTTACATCTATTGATAAGGCCCGCGCCTTCTAAGAAGCATCTAAGAAGCCCTCCCCCCTCCCTCCACCCCCTTGTGCGCGCCGCCAAAAGATGGTACTTCACGCGAGAGCATCCTTCCGTGTAGAATTGCAGGGGGATCTAGTGTGAGAGCGCGGCGCCGGAATCGGTTGCACAGAAAGTCTGGCCGATAACGCATTCTGAGGTGATCGCAAGAAAGTCTCAAGCGAAATTCGCGATTCTAGACTCCCCGGTCAGGAGTTCTCTGGCGGGAGTCGTATTGGTAGTGGTTTTCTGGGGGCCAAGAATGCAGTTTGAACAGGAAGACGAACAACTGGGTGCGAGCCCCAGGGACGGCATTTCAATAATGGGCACCAGGTGGGGGGGGGACTAACCATAGTTTTTTCTTTGTTATGTTCTCAGGAGTGAGATCCCAACAACAACATAAATCTGCATCGCGAAACCTCACTGCAGTCACGCACTCGGGAGGCCGAGGACCATTCGGCCCACTCACTCTGACGACATGTGGCTGGCATGATTTCGCGAACGTTGGTATGGGGGTGATTTGCCTTCCGTGTTTTTCACGTTGCCGCGTTGGCCCCATCGGCCCATTCCCCCCTGACCGCGCATGTGTCCGAACACTATGGCGCGCCAATTGCACGATGTCATCGCGCTGCGATTTTTGGATCCGAGCTGCGCGTTGCCGCACTTGTTGAGGCGCCCATCGGGCACTTTTAAACTACCCATTCGATGCACAAGTTGCGTGCATGGCATGTTCAGGATGTTCTCGCCGAGAGTCCCAGGACCCCGTAGTTTTGCCCGCAGGTGAGCACGCGCGATAATGACACCGCGATGGCAATGTTTAGGCGTGTGCGTGTCCTCGTTTGTGTGCCGGTTCGATCCCGCGCCGAAGCGAGACGGTGGCGAGCTCTTCGGCTTCAACCCTCAGGGCAACCGCCGCTGCCCCTCGGGCAGCCGCCGCTGCCCCTTGGGCAACCGCCGCTGCCCCCAGGAGCCGCTCCCCCGCTTCGGGTGGGGGGGGGGGGCGGGCGGTTCCCCCCCTCCCCCCCCCCCGGGCCGCCTTTCGTCCCCTCCCCGCAAGACGGTCATCGCCCCGCCCCCACCCCTCCCCCCACCGCCCTCCGTCCCCCCCCCTCGAAGCGGTCATTGCCCCGTCCCCCACCATCCTCCCCCCGCGCTCCCAGTCCAGGCCCCCCGTAGCCGCGGCAGCACGCACCCCACATCATGTGTCGGTCCTCGCCCTCCCCGCTGGATCCCTCGCTACATCTCGCCTAGGAGGAGGAGGACGAAGAAGGAGGAGGATGATGATGAGGAGGAAAGGGGAGGACAAGCAGGAGCAGGAGGAGGAGGAGGAGGAGGAGGACAAGCAGGAGCAGGAGGAGGAGGAGGACCAGTGTGAAATCAAGATTCACCAACAATGTTGGAATTAACCCTCCCTCCAAGCTTCCTCTTCATAGGCCCCCACAGCGGTTCATTTCCATTGAGGGAGCTGCCTCGTTGGGAGACAACCTTTTGAAGATCCTGAAACATGCCAAAACATTGTTCTCGGGATTCCAACGTCACGTATCAACCTGACTGCTGCGTCTTGACGATCCAGAATCGTGCCAGAGCGCCGTTTTTTGGACTTCAACACCGCGAATCAACATCAATTTTGCGCCCGCATCATCCTGAATCTTTCCAAAACATCCTTTCTGATACGATCACGGAAAGCCGTGATACTCTTGAACATGTTGAAAACGAATGTGCGCGGCGCTAAGGCAAGAGCCACATGTCGGAAGGGAACCGCCCTCAATCCGTTAAGCTCTCGCGATTTTTTAAAACGAATCTGCGCGGCGCTGGGGCGAGAGTCACATCTTGAGAACGACCCGCCCTCAAACCGTGAAACTCTTGCAAAGGTTTAAAATGAATGTGCGCGGCGCTAAGGCGAGAGCCACATTTTGAAAGCCACCCGCCCTCAATCCGTGAAGCTCGTGCAAATGTTTTAAACGAATGTACGCGGCGCTAAGGCGAGAGCCATATTTTGAAAACGACCCGCCCTCGATCCATGAAACTTTTGCAGTTTTTTTTTAGCGAATGTGCGCGGCGCTGAGGCGAGAGCCACATTTTGAAGACGACCCGCCGTCCATCTGTTAAACGGTTGTCATTTTTAATATCCAGGGTCATCAATGGTGAGGGAGTCTAAGGCGAAACGCCCGGCCCGCCCTAACAAAAATGCGTCGGGGTGCGACAGGGAAGAGCTATCCATAAGGAGAAGGGATGAAGGAGGATTATTATTACTACTACTAGTACTGTTGTTCCAATTCTTATTATTATTGTTATTCTTACTACGACTACTACTGCTACTATTGTTACTACTACTCGTATTATTTTTTACTACTACTACGACTATTACTGCGCTTACGACTACGGCGACGACTACTACGGCTAGTGCTACCATAACAGCAACCACTCTTACTACACTACTACGGCGGCTACTACTACTACTACTGCTACTACTACTACTACTATTACTACTACTACTACTACTACTACTACTAGTACTAGTACTAGTACTACTACTACCACTACCACTACCACTACCACTACCACTACCACTACCACTACCACTACCACTACCACTACCACTACCACTACCACTACCACTACTACTACTACTACTACTACTACTACTACAAGTAAGCATGCTACAATGAACGCTAGACGTAGGAATACTACACCTACTGATAGTATTGTTAAGGATAGTACTATTAGTAAACATACGTCGAAACCTAACACGGCTAATAGCTATACTTCTGAGAAGAAGACGAATACACATACGAATATTACTAGTAACGCTAATACTCATAACTCCGATCGTGGTAATAATGACAATCATGAACATAACCATAATGAGAAGACAAGGGCACCCACAGAACAAAGAGGAGGCGCAGGAGGAGGAGGAGAATGAGGAGGAGGAGGTATCACTGTTTCTCGTTGCCAACAACTCCGAGCTCGGACGGGCATCCAGTGTGATCGAGGCACCCTGGGGGAGTCGTCGGTGAGGCGTAGCCGGTGAGCCGTGCCTGAAATCAGGTCCCAAAGTGGTCTCCCACAAACACTGCACACACATTTAAGTCCAAGGTTCAAGTTCGTTCCCCCCTCCTCCTCCGCCTCATCCTCTCCCCGCCTCCTGCCCCCCTCCTCCCTCCCCGCAACGAGCAGCACACTATTGCTTGTGCGGCTGATTGCAGGTGGCATTCGACAGGCGCTCGAATTTGGACACCCGCCACCTTCCCCCTGCTCCTCATTGTCCTCCCTCCTCCATCCGCCGCTTTAGGAGGCGGAGGAGGATGAGGAGGATGACCAGTGTAAGCTCAAGAGTCATCAATTAGGTTGGACTAAACCCTCCCTCCAAACTCATTCTTCATAGGCCCCCACGACGGTTCATTTTCACTGAGGGAATTGCCTCGCTGGAAGACCCTGAAGTAACATTGTTCTCGGGATTCCAACGTCACGGATCAACCTGACTGATGCGTCTTGACGATCCAGAGTCGTGCCAGAGCGCCATGGGACTTCAACACCGCGAGTCACTGACTTGTTGACCCTCCTAACCCCGATTCCTTCCGAAGCACCATTTCTAGTACGTTGACCATGGGAATCCGTGAAACTCTTTTGCAAAGTCGACTGTGCGCGGCGCTAAAGCGAGCGCCACAGTTTGAAAAGGAGTCGCCCTCGATCCGTTGACCTCCTGCGAATTTGTAAACCGAATGTGCGCGGCGCTCAGGCGAGAGCAACATTTTGAAAACCACCGCCCTCAATCGCGAAACTCTTACGATGCTTATTATTATTATTCTTATTATTATTATTATTCGTATTATTGTTATTATGAGTTTTATTTGTATTATTGTTCGTATGCTAAGTAGTATCACCATTATTACTCTTATCATTCTTATTAGTTTTATTATTATTTTTATAAATTAATATCATTATTATCATTTATTATTATTCTTATTATTATTAGTAGTAGTATTATTACTATTATTATTGTTATTATTATCAATAAGCGAAAGTCGCGGCGCTAAGGCGAGAGCCACATTTTTGAAAACGACCCGCCTTCCAGGTGTGAACCTACTACCATGTTTAAGCTTCAGTGTCGCAGGTGAGGAAGTCTCAGGCGAAACGCCTGGCCCGCCCTAAAAACTGGCTTCGGGGTGCGACAGGGAAAAATCATTCACAAGGAAAAGGACTGGAGGAGGAGGAGGAGAAGGAGGAGGAGGAGGAAGAGGATTAGCAGGAGGAGGAGGAGGAGGAGGAGGAAGAGGAGGAGGAGGAGGACGAGGATGGCTGGCAATTTATCGCCCCCATTCCTCGAGTGGCCTGGGAAAAATCAGGCCCCCCAGAAAAGGAAGGGAACTTGGGGATACATCCCTTTGGGGGCTATTCGGACTCCACCCTATTGAGGATGAGCGGCCCTCCGTCGTATGCTCACGAGCGGGGTCTCCAATGTTGGGTCGAACAACCCCACAGAGTCGGAGATCGGAGACGGCATCATGATGCCCGTGAGAAGAGCAGGACGGGCGAGCAGGAACCACCGATGCCACAGTGTGCCCCCCCCCCGCCCCCAGCCCACCTGATGAGTTCGGCCGGGGGTCGGCGCAGGCCAGGGGGCGGGGGTCAAACGCGCAGTTTGAGGTCCCTGGGAGGGGGAGTATGGAAAGGGACGATTTCACACGCATGGAGACTCCCAAGGGGTCGCCGGCTTTTCGTAACCCGCATCCTGCAACACATTAAAACAACACATGCATATATACATCAATTCATGCATCTTTGCATTCTATACACAGTGTATGTTTTACATATTTGAGCATTTGTTCGTTGTCTGATCAGGGCCATTGGAAAGTCCCAGAGAACGTTTGCCCCTCAGTGTTTTGTTCGACCATGTTATTCTGCATTCTGAAGCAACATCTACAAGGCAGTACACACGCTTCTTCTTATCGGTTTTATAGGAAAGCCCCAGAGGGCGTTTAGAACTGCGGTGTGATGTCTGAACGTGTGCTTCCGCATTCTGGACAGAAAACAACACACCACACCGTTCCCTTCTTACGTTCGCCAGAAGGCCCCAGGGGGCGTCGGCACCGCGGAATTTTATCCAGAAGGCACTTTAACGGAGTTCGATGTTGTTCAGCCACGACGACACCAATTCAACGCGTTATCAAAGAGAATGGGTATGTGGCAGATTGGCACGTCAGGCGCTCGTTTTGTGCAACATCTTCCCACGTGTTGTTTTTTTTGTTGCGGCTTTACATCCGAATTCCTTCTGTTGCGGACTTACAGAAGAATTCTCCGTGCGACGGCCTTACATAATAATGTTGGGTCGAGTGTAACGGCCGAGTGTAACGGCCTTACAGAATTCTTCACGCTTCGCGTATCCCCACCAGCCCATCTCAAAACAGCAACTCTTGCGAAGCATGCCGACAGTCGTGTTTTTCAGGCGTGTTTCCGCCTGCCCCCGCATATCTCCGGGCCTCTCGTCCTGGTGTGAGTCGTTCGGGCCCTTCTTCCTGGTGTGAGTCGTTCGGGCTCTTCGTCGTGGTTTGAGTCGTTCGGGCTCTTCGTCCTGGCGTGAGTCGTTCGGGCTTCTCGTGGTGTGAGTTGTTCGGGCCCTTCGTCCTGGTGTGAGTCGTTCGGGCTCCTCCTCCTGGTGTGAGTCGTTCGGGCTCCTCGTGGTGTGAGTCGTTCGGGGCCCTCGTCCTGGTGTGAGTCGTTCGGGCTCCTCGTGGTGTGAGTCGTTCGGGCGCCTCGTCCTGGTGTGAGTCGTTCGGGCCCCTCCTCCTAGTGTGAGTCGTTCGGGCTCCTCGTGGTGTGAGTCGTTCGGGCCTCTTGGGCGCCTCTGGGTAGCCTCTTGGGGGCCTCTTGGGGCATCTTGAGGCCTCTTGGGGGCCTCTTGGGGGCCTCTTGGGGGCCTCTTGGGGCCATCTTGGAGCCTCTTGAGAAGGACAAAATGAGCCCAAAACCTTTGTAAAATCAATGATTTTGCTATGAAGGAAGATGAGCGCGGCCCCTCAGGACGCCAAAATGGGGCCAAAACCGTAGTAAAATCAATGATTTGGCTTCAAGGAAGAGCAAAGGGGCCTATCTCCGTCCCCCCGTCGGGGCCAGAATCCTCGTGAGGGTCGTCGTTTTTTGGCCCTCCCAGGAGTCGAAATTGACCCCCCTGACGACCCGCCGGGCCCCCTGTCCAGGTCCAGGGGGAGGGGGGAGGGGGAGGGGTAAACCCCTCCCTGAAGGGGAAGAAGGGGGGTTGAGGACAGAGCGGGCTCTCTAAACCACTCACGCCCAAAGGGCTGGTGGGATTCCTCTTGTGGCGGCCTCGCACAAGGTTTTACTTTGTGTCGGCCTTACAACAATAGTCCTGACGTGGCGGCCTTACAGAATATTGTGGTGAGTGATACAGGCAAGGAAAACAACAACACATCATCTGTACATACAGATCTACAAAAGAAATGCAGTCACATTGAAATTTGTTGTATTCTCAGCGATGTCGGCGCGGGCGGTGGGACAACAACATCGAGAACACAATGGCTTCAGCCATAATAGCTCCCAGACTATGTGAAACACAGCGTTTTCAGCTATCGGAGCGCCCAGACGCTGAAACACACAGCGTGTTCAACCATTGGTGTTCCGAAACGTTGAAAAACACAGCGCGTTCAGCGATCGGTGCTCCGAACTGTTAGGTTTTCGTATTATGTCAGCCTCTTGCACCTTTCGTTGAACCCATACCAAGTTTCACCATTTCACTGGGTTCTTTGTTTCTTTCTTTCATTTGTTTCCTCTGGTATCACTCACACAAAGCAATTTCTGTGCAAGGCCGCCACAACAGGAATCCTGTTGTAAGGCGTCACACAAGGAATATTCTTCTATGGCCGCCACAAGCGTAAATCCTTTTTGTGAGGCCGTAGCAACAAATAAACATTTTGTAAGGCCGTCGCAGGCAATTCTGCTGCAAAGCCGCCACATAGGGAATTCTTCCTGTAAGACCGCCACTAAGAGGCAGCCCGTTTCGAAGATCCCGGAACAGGAACTTGTCGGGTGAACTTGCGCGGTTGTGACAGCAAGGTAAGCTGACCGTTGCATGCTCCATGTTTTTTGTTTGTTGTTGCAGAGCCCTCCTCCCCCTCCCCCACCCTCCTCCAGGAATGCCCCCGCTGCCCGTGGGACCGCTCGGCGCCGGCACTGGGCCGCTGTCCAAAGACGCCTTCGCGGCCGAGATGGCCCAGGCCGGCAGGGCGAACATCGGGCGCCCGCGCCGGACGTCGGAGGTCGTCGGCCAAGCACCAGCAGCAGGAGGAGGACGAGGAGGACGAGGAGGAGAAGGAGGATGAGTATGAGGGGGAGGAGGAGGAGGAGGAGGAGGAGGAGGAGGAGGAGGAGGAGGAAGATTGAAGAACAAGTCGCGGCATCACCCTATTTTTCCAAACCTCCGCGCGGATTTCTCGGATCTGCGCTGACCCCTCGGCGGCTCCTCTGGCGCTGCCCCTGGCGCGTTCCGCGCGCCAGGGAAGGGGTCCAGCGCTGTCCCAAGAAATCTGCGCGGACCTCTGAAATTGTTTGTTTGTATAGTCTTCTTCTTCCTCCAGGAGGAGGGCGGTGCCGGCGGAGGCTAGCTGGGCCCACCCAGGGCTCTGGACCTCGTGGTGTGCGCACCCTTCAAAGCCTGTCCTGCAGGATCTAGGCGCACACCAGTGCAGAGCCTGTGGGGGGCCTCCTCTGGCCAGCCCTGACTTCGGCTCACGCCTTGATAAAGGGCAGATTTTCCTCGGATCCGGGTGCTCCGCTCAGGCTCAGGCGTGGCACCTTTGCCGACCTCGCCAGCGTAATTAACGCGGAACGGGGATTGGAGGATGAGGATGAAGAGGCAGGGGGATGAGGCAGGGGGATGAGGGATGAGGACGAGAAGGAGGGATGAGGGAGTAGGGAGGAGGGAGGAGGGAAGGAAAGGTGGAGGATGGATGGATGAATGGATGGATGGACGAATGGATGTATGCATGAATGAATGAATGAATGAATGGGTGAATCTATGATTGGATGATGAATATAGGATGATGATGATGATGATGATGATGATGATGATGATGATGATGATGATGATGATGATGATGATGATGATGATGATGATGATGATGATGATGATGATGATGATGATTATGCTGATGTTGATGTTGATGACGATGATGATGACGATGATGATGATGATGATGATGATGTTGCTGCTGCTGATGATGATGACAATGCTGGTGATGTTGCTGATGCTGATGCTGTTGACGATATGATGCTGATGCTGATGCTGATGCTACCATTTATGATGCTGCTGCTGATGCTGGTGCTGCTTCTGATGATGCTGATGATGATGCTGCTGCTGCTGATGCTGATGATGATGATGATGCTGATGATGACGATGATCATGCTGCTGCTGCTGATTATGCTGCTAATGCTGATGCGGCTGATGATGCTGGTGCTGCTTATGATGGTGTTGCTGCTGCTGTTGATGGTGGTGCTGCTGCTGCTGATGATGATGATCATGCTGATGATCATGATGCTGCTGCTGCTGATAATGATGGTGATGCTGATGATGATGAGGATGATGGCGATGCTGTTGCTTATGATGCTGCTGATGGTGATGATGACGATGGTGAGATTGATGATATGGATGATGATGCTGCTGATGACGGTGATGATGATGATGGTGACGATGCTGATGAAGATGATGATGAGCATTGCGATGATGATTGTGATGATGGTGTTGTTGATGATGATGATGATGATGCTGCTGCTGATGATGATGATGATGGTTGTGGTTGTGGTGGTGATGATGTTGATGCTGATGCTGATGCTGATGTTGATGCTCTGATGCTCTGATGCTGATGCTGCTGATGATGATGATGATGACTGATTGTTGAAGACACAGTCGGAGAGGAGGGATGCGAGCCTGAGGATCAAGACACGGTCAGTAGGACGAGAATGAGGGAGACGATGAGGAATGATGAGGGAGGAAAGAGGCTGAGGCCGAGGAGGAAGGGGAAGAGGGACCCGAGGATAAGGATGAGGAGACAGGAGGAGGCTTCGTCCAGGTGCATTCTCACTCGAGCAAGCTTATCTTTTTGTGGTTTCTTTCGTTACTCTTCGTCTTTCCATCTATGTAGGAAGTACAGCCGACCCGCATAGTAAAGATCAGAAGCTTTCCAAGGTGACGAGGGGGGGTGATGTCGTGGGCGAGGGGGTGGGGGGCGGGGGGCGAGGGAGCAGGGTAGCGCGGGAGAAGCAGGAGGCGGCGGCGGCGGTCTCAGGCTGCGGGCCGCTCGTTCTGCCGTGTGCCGCGGGGGGGGCAGCTTTCTCGGACGCATCTGGGCCTCGAGGGGGTCTTCGCCAGCGCCCTGCCAGGCGGAGAAAGGAGATCGATGGGCCTGTTTTCCACCACCACCATAAGTTGGAGGGGGGAGGGGGTCCTCCTCCCCCTCTTCTTCTTCCTCCTCCTCCTCCTGCTCATCCTCCACCTCCTTCCCCCTTCCAACTGATGGTGGTGGTGGTGGAAAACAGGCCCATCAGAGATGCGATGCTTCTGGCAGCCGCCTGCTCCCCAGCGGGGCTACCACGCCACGCCCACTGGGCGCACAGGGAGCCGCCCCCCTCTTCTCGGCCACGCGCTGACAAGGGGGGTACGGGCAGGGGGGAGGATTGGGAAGCCTTCTAAGACACCTCTCTGCTCTCTAGAGGGCGCGGCAAGATCTGCAGACGTGAGGCCGGCACTTTCGAAGGAGCACCCTCCTTCCGAGAGACGCATCCCCTTACTTAGTTCTCCCTTTCAGCTTCCCTACATTCTATACCATTGTGATGTCTTCTGCTGGCGGTTTTCGTATGCCAGGCACCCCGGTGAAGCAAGTACTCAAGCAGCACAGGATCCACAGCCCACTTCATGAGATGGATGACGGCGACAAGCTGAGTGATCCAAAGTTGTTCCAACATCCTCCACCTGTGCTTTTTGGTCCAGGGCAGGCTTTTACCGCTGATGTCAAAGTGAAGCCTTTGACAGCGACCATGTTGGAGAGTATCTTGAACAAGCAGTTGGAACCAATTCGCAAAGACATTACCGCGATCAAGGCCCACGGCGTATTACAGACAGACTTACTTGAAGTAGTGCAGCCGCTGAAGCAAGATATCGGAGATTTGGCGAAGCGAGTTGGACTCCTGGAACCGAATCACTCACGTCCAGTTTCTGCACGCTCGGCTTCTGGAGCATCTGTCGATACCAATACTCAGGTTGAGCTAGCAGAGCTTGAACGTGATGTCGCTCGTCTACGTGGGCCTGGTCTCGCGTGTAATTTTGGAGGGCACCCCCCGTGCTACCGCCCACACCAAGACGAAAGAGGAACGTCACCGCAGTGATCGGCAACCTCGACGGCTTCGATTCCATCGTTGCCGCCACCGATTGGCTAAAACCAGAGCTGGAGAGCTTGGGAGCCCCAGCGTGGACAAATCTGTACGCGAAGTGCGAACTCCAGAATATCATTGTCTGCAAGTTCGAAAACCAAGATAACTGGGACACAGTTGTCGCCCGGATCCAGGCAGCTAGAGTTCAGAGGAATGGGAACACAATTTGGTTTACTCCGGATGGTCCACCTGTGGTCCGAGCGGCCCGTCAGTTGTGTTTCGGTCTCAAGTTTTTTTGTTTAAAAAAAACCGTGGGGATGCAGTACACCATCCGCGTATCAGACCAGGCCCCTTTTCTCAGTGGAGGTGGGGGGGATCTCGCACTTACAGTAGCCGTGGACGGGAGCAGCATCAAAGAGGAGTGGCGCAACAATTGGGGCAAGTGGGAGGAGTTGCGCGCCCACCCAAAATTCAAAAAAAAATAATTCAATCTTGTGAAGGAATTGTACAGCGGAGCAGGTCAGGGATGAAAAGGAGGAGGAGGCAAGGGCAGCTCCCAAAGCACGGGGGAATCGGAAATTTGGCAAGTGCTGATTCCCGACAGCGCCGGAGTCGACAAAGCATCTACAGACGTCTCGGGAAACGTCGCACATACACCTCCCTCTTCCATGATTTTTTTCAGCGGTACTTTGTTGTGGACGATGCGACGGTTGAGGCTAGTGTCTTTTTTCTTATTTCGTCACCGCCTTCCTGTGCACGCCGTGCCGCTGTACCACCTCATGTTTTTCCTGCCGGCCGACCGGTTCAGGGCAAATATACCAGCGCCGCAGGTGGTGCCGCTATATTTTTTCCGGGCTGGGGCAAAGTTACTTACCCGACTACTTCGCCGCCCGCGCGATCGATGTCGGGACAGGGCAACGTTTTGGCAAGGGGCCAGGAAGCGAGGCCAGAGCGTACTGTTGACGAATCGTCCAGCGGATCGTTTTCCACAAGGTGTGCGGATATTTCCTCAGGAGCTGCAGTGGGCATGGGCAAGGATACCGCGCCACAACATCAATTGCGTATATCTTCCTTCCGTCTTCACCATCGTTGATTTCTCCGACTTCTCCTACACCATTTTCTTCTTTGCCTTCCCGGGGCGCCCGTGGGCGCACCGGAACACCGACTCCAGAAACTACGTTTTCACGTGGCTGTTGCATGGGTGCGTTTCACCACCGACCAGAACAGGCCTCCTGGGGTCGTCATAGACGTGTTTGCAAGCCGTGCGGCTTTCAGCGCCTGGAAACTTGGAATATTCAAGGTGTCCGGGGCGACTCCGACGTGAAAATCGACGGAATTCTGCCAGCGATGTTAGGAAGGGATATGGATGTATTATGTATCCAGGAGACTCACCTCAACGGTGCCGAGTGCTGCATACGTGAAAGGTTATGTTGTATTTTTGTCGGGATGTCGGGATTCAGATGAAAGATCGCATGCTGGAGCGGGGTTCATAGTGTCACCGCGTATTCGCTCGGCAATTGTTGCGTTTAAAGCGTGCGGCGATCGCATAGCCGCGCTTCGTCTGGAAATACATGGATGGTGACATGGCGGGGTGCTTACCGCGTTGTCCGTGTGCGCGCCGCGCAGCGGAATCGATTGCGACATCAGGCATACATTTTACCACACTTTGCAAGACCACATTCGCCGCGCTACAAAACACTCTACATCGTGCGTTCTCGGTGACTTTAACGCCAGGTTGTTCCGAAGAAAGGCTGGGGGGGACGTCATCGGACCGCAATTGTACGAGTCGACAGATGGCAATGTTAACCATGCTACTTCAAACTAGTACCTTTTGGTAAAAGCTTGAGTTTCGCCCGACCCAGTGATCGCCGACGCGTTCTTCGATCGCCCCAATAAAAAGAAACATTTCTTACCGTGTCCTTGGCGTTCGCCCGGTGGCGGACGTCGAGGGCGTAGCATTCGCGCAACTTGATCGCGTCCTATGCCACCAAAGCCTGCCCCCCCGCGATTCTGGATTCCTGGGCGCGCCGGGAAGGGCCAATCGAGGGCCAACATTTTCTCGCGACTGTTGAAACTACGCTTCATTTTACCGTTGTCGAAGAGCGTAAGATGAAGGCTTTGGACAAGAGGGCATTGAAGCAGACGGGTGCCAGACATGAGTTTTTGGTGGTGTTCAAAAGTGCGGCTTCCGCAAATTATGCAACGCGCAGCCTGGTTTGAATCAGCAGCTGATATTGAACAGGCTTCCAAGGCTACCGCGCTGACGTTGCCTGAAACATATGTCCCCCCCAGACGTCCGCGGGCCAGCTCGCGCGCGCTTGACCTTTATAAGGAAACGGAAAGTATGCCGGTTCACGGGGGGCCACCGCAACGAGAAGATGCTTCGCAAACAGATTCGGCAGTCCGGCAAACAAGATCGCAAAACATGGTTGGAATCTTATGTGGGGATGCCGTGAAATACTTGCGCAAGCCAAAACCATTCAACCACGCAGACATCATGGAGCCGGATGACACTTTATCACTCGCGGCGGAACGATCTAACATTGTGGCTGATTATTTCGAGTCCGCGCAGTGGCAAATCGGCATCCTGACCTCTTGCCAGACCGTCATATGATGTTCGGGGGCGCATTTCCCATGCGCACCGACATTTTCAACGTGGATGAATTAGTGGGAGTTTTGAAGGAGTTGAAATGTGGAAAGACTGCTGGACCAGACGACATGCCATCATATGTCTGGGAGATTCTGCTTTAAGACAAAGACGCTAGTTGCATATTATTGCGACTCTGTCAACAATGCTGGAGGCGAAAATCAATCCCAGAGTCGCGAAGAAAGCTAAAGTAGCATTCTTGTCAGAAAAATGAGACGCTGCCCATCCAGAAAGTTCACGGCCTATCTCGTTGCTCTCCGTTGGCTACAAGATGTAAGCATCATTGATGCACCGGCGACTCATGCGCGGAGGTTCCGAACTGCGCATGCGCCGTTCATAATTTGGTTTTCGTCCAGGGCGTGGCGTTGCGGGCGCACTCGTGCTGATATGGTGCATGATTGAACTGGCGCACAGCAGTTCTGACGACGGGATCATCGTGCAGATGTTTGACTGGGCCAACGCGTTCGATGGAATAAGTCCGGCCGCCATGTGCAGAGCTTTGCGCAGATTTGGGGTTCCTTCCGACATGGTGGAAATGGTGAGATCAATCTACGAGGCCCGCTTCTTCCCCATTTGGGGCCATACCGGGGGCCCTTCGGGAAGACGACAAAAGGCCGGGATCGCGCAAGGGAGTCCGCTTTCTCCGTGCCTCTTCCTAGCAGTTCAAACAATGATGCTTCGCGACTCGACTGATGCGTTACATCTCCACCAAAAGCCAGAATGCGTGGTTGCACGGGGCGTGCTGAACGCGGACGACACGTTATTTGTATCTCGGCACCAGACCAATTTGCAAGTCATGTTGAGTGAAATCGTAGAGTGAGGGCGGAGGTATGGATTGGCTTTGAACTGGGGCAGGACGCTGCCGTTGCAGGTATCAACATGCAAAAATATCACGAAGCCAGATGAGGGCGACATCAAGACCGCCCGGGACGCGGCGTGCGTAGGGGGGCTTGTGTGTCTGGCGACGGGAGGGCTTCAACAGAATTGTCCAGAATATTGGGTGGTGGTGGTGGTGGTGGTGGTGTGTGGGGGGGGGGGGGGCATGTGTGATTTTCAAGCAACTAAACAAAGTATGGTCCAGAGCGGCGATCGGGTGGTGGCGAAACCACAAGATCAATGACGCCGTCGTCTTTAGCAAGCTTCTCTACTCCCTGGATTCTCTGTGGTTCTTGAAAGCTGACCGCGCTCGTTTGGGCGCTTTTCATTGCATCTGCGTGCGACGACTGCTTGGCATTCCATATTTGTACATATCTCGTGCGAGCAACGATGCAGTTTTGGAGAAGGCGGCGACGAAACCGTTGTCGCAATATTTGCTCAGTAGACAGGTAAGCTTGCGCAAAAGTTTCGGCCTAAGGCGCTAATTCGTTTGTGAGGCTAGTATTGTTCAATGCAGATGGGTCGCATAAAGTGTGGCCCGCCCGCCGCAGGAGAGGACGACCGCGCCAACAATGGGCAACCGAATTGCATAGGCTTGCGCAACATGTGTAGCGCTGGTTCCACTGTGTGTTGCCCTCCCCATCCTCTCCGCTCCTCCCCCCCTTCCCCCTTCCCTCCCCCCTCCCACTGGTCATAGCAGTCGCGTGTGTGCCAGTCTGACTTCCATATTCGCGAGCGCGTCAAAGGCGCAGCTCGATTCGACTATGCGTCCTCTCGGGTGCACGGCCTTTGACTTGACCCTCCTTCCGAGAAGCCTGCCCCCCGCCCCCCTGCCCCCTCCTGCGCGCCGCCAAGCACAGGGGGCCGCCCCGTCCTCCAACTCGCCGGGGGACAGGCGAGAGAGAAGGGAGGGAGGGGGGGCGAGGGCGGACAGCGAGGAGAGCGCGGGAAGGGAAGAGGGAGGGCCAGGGAGGGGGGAGCGAGGGAAGCGACAGAGGGGGGAGGCAAGCTAGGTTCAGGCGATCACACACATGGATCCAGGGGGCGTGGATTGCCGACGGTTCCCATTTCCATGAGAAATCGCGGATGTCCGCCGCCGAACGAGGCGGCACCGGCGGCGTTTTGGGGAGGGCATCTTCGCCGATCCATGGATTTGGCGACCGCGCGCCAAATCCATGGATCGTTAATCCATGTTTGCGCGGCCCCGATAGGTGCGCTCGCGTCATATCTGACGCGTTCCCCCTCCCCCCACTCATGGCGTAGATCTCCTCTCTATTCGCACAGCCGGATGTCGAGCAGGGCAATGATCCCGAGAGGGTGCGCGATGCATCGTAGAACGCGGCACAGCAGGGCGTAGGAGAGCAAGGCAGAGCGTAGTGTGTCATAGCATGGCGTGGCGTTGCGTAGTGAAGAATAGCAGCACGAAACATTGCAACGCAATGAATGGTATCGCACAGCGGCGCATAACAAAACATGGCGTAGCATTGCGTTGAAGATCGAAGCGTACTACGGTCTGGTATGGCAGCACGGCGTGGCACTGTGTAGTCAAGCGCCGCACATCCTAGCATTGCAGCTGAAGGCCGGGTATCGCACAGCGGAACACCACATAGGATTGCATTACATGCCGTGGCATGTCGCTGGATTTATGACGCTGGCGCTGCGGCGGGAACAGTATTCGGAACGAGCGCAAACGCGGAAGTGCGGCCAGCCGCTGCAGCGGGAACAAGATTTCGAAACACAGACCACTCGAAAACCCATGACATCCTGTGTGTAACACGCATTGCGCGAAGGGGGGCGAATCTCCAGGACGTCATCGGGGGAGAGAGGAGAGTAGAATTCATATTGTGTAACCGTCGAGGGAGGGCACGGGGGGGGAAGGAGGGAGAAGGACGAGCGAGAGGGAGGGAGGGGGGGAGGGGGGGGGAGGGAGGGCAGAAGGAGAGGGGCGGGAGGAGGGAAAGGGAGGGGGGGGAAGCGGGGGGAGAGGGAGGGGAGGGCCGGGGAGGGAAGGAGGGAGGGAGGGCAGGGAGAGGGAGGGGAGGGCAGGGGACGGAAGGCGGGGAGAGAAAGGGGAGAGAGGGGGGGGAAGAGGGGAGGGGAGAGGGACGAGCGAGAGGGGCGCAGGCTGGGGCCTCCCCGGCCTCAGGCGGGCCTCTGCGCGCCTGTGGCCGCCCTGCGGCCGCCCGGGCCGCCCGGGCCGCCCACCCGGCCCTCGCCGCGCACAGGCGCCCTCGCACGGCCGTTGGTCGAACCAATCTCGGAGGGTCGGGAGGGGGTGGAGTCAGAGGAGGACAAGATGCCCATACCTCTACCCTTCCCTCGTTTTCCCCTTTTTGGGCCTCCTGGGAGGCCCTCGTCGCCACCGCTGGATTCGCCTCGAAATTCTGGTCATAACGCGCCCTCGGAGAGGTCCGGGGAGTAGCGGTATCGGTGCCTCTGAGTTTCCCTAGGGAGGGGTAGGAGGTTCTAGGCCTCCTAGATGGGTTTGGAGCAGATGGGGTCGGAAGATCGTGCCGCATCGGCGATGCATCGGCGATGCGGCTCGATGTGGAGCCCGATCTGCTTCACGTCGACGTCGCCGATGCATCGCCCACGTCCACGATGCAACGCCGGTGCATCGTCGATGCATCGCCGATACATCGCCGATATATCGCCGATCTATCGGCGATGCGGCGTGATCCTCCGACCCCATCTACTCCGTGGGAGGTCTCTAGAGGTGCGCTGGCAGAGATTGGAAGCATGCGCCACATGCGCCAAAATCGCACGACCGACGCCCGAGCTCGCGCTGCACCGCCATCGGGGCGGAAGCATGCAGCACGGCGAGCGGCGGAGCCGGCCACGCGCAGGCGAGTGTTCATCACAGGGGGGAGGAGGAGGCACAGGTGCCGATACCGCCGCTGCCCTTGCCTCGTTTTGACCATTCTGTGCCTCCCGGGAGGGCCTCGTCGCCACGGCTGGATTCGACTCGAAATGTTGGTCAGAAGGCACCACGGTAGAGGTCCGTGGACCAGGGGTGTCAGTACCTTTTGGTATCTCCAGGGCATGGGAGGGGGTGGGGAGGGCGAGCTGAGGAGGGCGGGGGTTTAGGAGGAGGTGGCGGGGATGCGATGCGAGGAGGACGGGGCGAGGGCGAGGGAGGGGGGGAGGGATGAGGATGGGTGGGAGTAGTTGGCGGGTGAAGGACGGAGGACGGGGAGTGAAGAGAAGGAGGATGTTGGACAAGGGGGTCAAACTGGGGTGGCACACATGGACCATATGCGATTATGTCCCATTGTGTCGGGCATCCATGGATGTCTCCAGTATTTCTCACTGGTCCTCATGTTTTCGACGTGTTTTCTGACTTGTCACACACACACACACATCGGAGGTGAGGGGGTGAGATCGAAGTGGAGCGGAGAGCCCCCCCACCGGGAAATCGATTTCGGTTTCGTGTTCGTGCGTGCCGTGCGGGCGAGGCGAAGCTGCGTGGGCGGCCGAGAGAAAGTCTCCTGTGGCTGAGGCGCAGCCGGACCAAATGTCTCCCTTCCGGGCGGCCGGGGGCCCGCGGTGTCCCGCCGGTGTCCCGCTGGTGTCCCGTGTGGCTGAGGCGCGGCCGGACCAAATGACTCCCTTCCGGGCGGCCGGGGGCCCGCGGTGTCCCGCCGGTGTCCCGTCGGTGCCCCGTCGGTGTCCTGATGATGATGATGCTGATGATGATCATGATGGTTGTGTTGATGGTGATGATGATGACGATGATGGTGTCCTGGTGATGATGATGATGATGATGATGATGATGATGATGATGATGTTGATGTTGATGATGATGATGATGATGAGATGACGATGATGTTGATGTTCTGCCCGTTGTTGTTGATGATGATGTTGGTAATGATGATGCTGCTGATGATGATTATGGTATCCCGATGATGATGATTATGACGGTGGTGATGATGATGGTGATGGTGATGGTGTGCCGATGATGATATTGATGATGATGTTGGTGATGATGATGCTGCTGATGATGATTGTGTCCCGATGATGTTGATGATGCTGTTGATGATGATGATAATGAGCTGATGATGATGATGGTGTTCCGATGATGGGGATGATGTTGACGATGACAACGATGGTGACCATGATGGTGTCCCGATGATGATGATGCTGATGGTGATGATGACGATGGCTGTGTCCCGCTGGTGATGTTGATTATATTGTTGATGATGATGAGATGACGATGATGTTGATGTTTCTGCCCGTTGTTGTTGATGATGATGTTGGTAATGATGATGCTGCTGATGATGATTATGGTATCCCGATGATGATTATTATGACGGTGGTGATGATGATGGTGATGGTGATGGTGTGCCGATGATGATATTGCTGATGATGTTGGTGAAGATGATGTTGCTGATGATGATGGTGTCCCGATGATGTTGATGATGCTGTTGATTATGATGATGATGATTATATGATGATGATGGTGTCCCGATGTTGTTGATGATGTTGACGATGACAATGATGGTGACCATGATGGTGTCCCGATGATGATGATGCTGATGGTGATGATGACGAAGGCTGTGTGCCGATGATGATGATGATGATGATGCTGACTATGATGAGATGATGATGGGGATGATGATGATGATGATGATGGTCTGATGATGATGGCATTGATGATGATGACGATGATGATGATGATGATGACGACATTGTCCCGATGACGATGAAAATGATGGTGTTGGTGATGATGATGATGATGATGATGATGATGATGATGATGATGATGATGATGATGATAAAATGATGATGATGATGATGATGATGATGATGATGATGATGATGATGATGATGATGACGTTGAATGTTAGATCGATTGTGATATCAGTAGTGAGATCGATAGTGAGACCGAATGTGAGATCGATTGTGAGATCGATAATCAGATCAATTGTGAGACCGAGCGAATGAGATATATCGAGTGAGATCGATTGTGAGATCGATCGAGTGAGATCGATCGAGCGAGACCGATAGTGAGATGGATAGTCAGACCGATCGAGTGAGACGCTGCATCCTCCCCCCCCGAACCTCCTTATCACCCGAAGGGTGGTCGTATAGTATAGTCGTATAGGTATATACATATACATATATGTATGTGTATATGTACATCTATCTCTGTATATATGTGTGTATATATATGTATAATATAGAATATCGGAGTGTTGGGCCCCCCGGCCGCGCCCGGGACACAATGACAAATGGGGCCACCCCCTGGGTAACCCAATTTGGCCCCTGGGGCCCAAGGCCTGTTTTCGGTCCTTTGCGGGGCGGTTCCACCCCCGGGAGCGTTCCAAGAGCATCCACTATCGCCTCCAGACGGCCTAAGAGGCTTCCAAGACGACCCCATAGCGCCCCAAGAGCGCTCGAATACCGCTTAAGGTGGCCTCAAGACAGCCCAAGAGGCTCCCAAGAGGACCCCCACGAAGCAAAAATCGTCCCATTCCCTTCGGAAAGCGTACCATTTTAGCATCATCGCTTGTTTGGTTTCGAGAGCGTCCAAGGTGGCCCACGAAGCCCCCAAGGTCGCTCCAAGACGGCCCAGGAGGCCCCCAAGAGGGCCCCAAGACGGCCCGCGAGAGCCCAATGACGGCCTCAAAGAGGCCCACAAGGCTCCCAAGAGAGCCCCGAGAGAGCCACAGGAGGGCCACCACAGAGCCCCAGGAGCGCCCCAAGACGGCCCCGGCCTCCCAAGACTGCCCAAGAGCGCTTCAGGACGGCCATCGAGGGCCCCAGATGAGCCCCAAGAGGCCCAAGAGGGCCGCCAAGAAGGCCAAGTGATGCCATTTTGTATGATTTTCGGTTGTTTTGACGTTCCCGCCTCTCCGGTCTCTCAGCAGCTCACAACGGCCTCAGAGGCATCCCCCCGATCGCTCCAAGATCCCCAAGACAGCCCAGGAGGCGCCCAAGACGACCAATGAGCGCCCGACGAATCGCCCCTGCATTCCTCAATGGCACATCGGCAATTTGCGATGCGCGTTCCTTGTGCACGGCTAGAACCTAAGCGCGCGCGAAGCGCGCGTGGTTCTAATATATATATATATATAGATATATGTATATGTATGTTTGTATGTACATACATACATAAATATAAATCTATATGTCCTGCTGTGAAAAACGGTGGTCTCTACCCCGCCAGGAACTTTGCCTGGGCCCCCCTGAAGCATTCTGGGAAGCTTAGAGAACATCCTTTGACCGACGGAAGCAGCGGGATCGAGCGCGCCGACATTCACGCGTAAGCTGCCCGCGCAAGGCCGCTTGTAAGCGAGCGCCAGCTTGCCGCAGTGTCGGCCTGCCGAAGCCACCGCATACGATCGTTATGTCATGACGCGTAATGCCCCCCCTTTCCGCCCTCGCTCACTTGACGAGACAAGGCACAGACCAAAGCAATGGGCCAAAATCACGAAACACACAGCATCTTCCCCTAGCTGTATACTGAGGGCCTTGCCTGCGCTGCGAGAGGATCTTCAGTCAGCCTGCCAGGCGGAACGGTGGCTGCCTCCCCGTCTGTGACCGTTAGCGACCTCCCGGCGGGCGCCAAGCCGCCACCGCCGCCTCCAAAGAAGGCCGCGGCCCCGAAGCCCCTGCCGAAGGCGGCCACATTCTTCACGCCGACGAACCTGCGGACGAAGAAGGTGTCGCAGGCGACACCCAGGGACATAACCCCTGAGAGGATATTACTGATGCTTCCTGCATTGTGTCTCTCCCAATCCTGGCCCCGCAGCCTCCGCTCAGAGCCTAGGCTTCTTGTCCTGCCACAGCTCCTGCCCTTCCCCTCCGCTCCTCCGTTCCTTCTGCTGCTCCGCAGTTTCTCCCCCCCCCCTCCCCCTGCTCTTGCCTCTCTCCAGTCGCGGCCGCTCGACGGCCGCGTAGTCTTGCGAGACTCTTTCCCTCGGGGCTGTCCTGTCCCATCCTGTCTTCTCCCTCGAGCTCCAGGTGGCGGGAGGCGTCTTGCAGGCGTCGTCCTCGTCGCTGTCCATGGCGAAGCGGAAGGAGGTGCTGCTGCGGGAGGTGCCGACGGTGGGGCAGGCCCCGAGCATCGACGACGCCTTCAAGGACTTCATGAGCCAGATGGACGACGACTGACCGCGGGGCGCAGAGGGGGTCCCGTGCGCGCCGCCGCCGAGCGCCCCTCCAGCGCGCCCGCGGAAAAGAGGGGGGGAGGGACGGCACGGACACGGCCACCCGTTCGTGGTTTCCCTTTAAGATCAGATCAGGCGACGAGTCCCGTTTCCATGGGAGATCGCGGATTTCCACCGCCGAGCGAGGCGGCACCGGCCGCATTTTGGGGAGGGCACCTTCCCCGATCCATGGATTTGGCGACCGCGCGCCAAATCCATGGATCGCTCATCCATGTTTGCGTGCCCCCGAGAAGAACCAATTGCGTGAAGATCATCTTTCGACAGTCGGGGCGCATTTCTCGGGCCAGCGATGGACCCGCCTCCCTGGCGCGCGGAGCGCGCCAGGGGATCGGCGCAGATCCAGGACCTCTGTGCGGAACTCCAACAGTTTGTGCTGATGCATTTGTGAAAGTCCTCCAGGAGAAAGGCGGTGCTGTTGTGGCAGTTCATTTCTTCTTCGGTCTTTTGTCGCTCTACTTTCTTTCCTCCTCGTCCTTCGTTTCCTTTCTCCTCTCGGAGCCGTTCGCCACGCTGCCTCACCACTCACTGCTCTTTTTTGGCGGGATTGGGTTGGTGGACTTCGGGGGCACCGGCTATACCATGAAGGGATAGGTTGGTCCCTGTTCGTGCTGGTTTGCACCCCTAGTCGGTTTAAAGTGGCCGGCTCGGTTTGACATTGGTTCGGTTTGGGTCTGGTTACGGTTCGATTCGGCTTCGCTTCTCGAATGGTTCGGCTCGAACGGTTGTCGATTCTCCAGGGGCGTTGCGGAGGGGTCTCAAGGTTCAGCGAGGTCCGGGTGGTCCGGGGGGACCTGCAGGGGGATCCGGAGCGGTCCGGGGGGGGGTCCGGGGGGCCGAGGGGGTGTCTCAGACCCTCGCGCGCCTCGATCATCCCGAGCGGCACCCGCGAGAGGCACTGCTGTGATGTGCGCAACTCGTTCTGTGGAAGTTGTGGAAATTGTGGAAGTTAGGTTGAAGTTGTGGAAGATAGCTTTTCATATTTGTCGCTTGTTTTTGTTGAAAAGTGACGTCTCCCTATCTTGAACCACTCTATCCCCTAACTTCCACCTATCTTCAACCATTCTAATTCCTCTTTTTTTCAATTTCCCCAAAATCGCACTGCGAATACAGATTTTATTTTTTGGGCAGACACGTTTTTCTATGTTGTTGCGTTATGTCTGCCCCCGTAGCGTTTTTTTATGCTTTTTGCCCAGCGCTTTGCGATGCCAGCACTTGCCAAGCGCGTTGCGCTGCATGCGCCTCGCGCCCCCTCCAAGTAAGCGCATTGCGCTCCAGTTTGAATTCAATCATTCCTTTCGCGCTTTCATGTGCTCAGTTCAATCAAGCGCTTTGCGCTCCAGTATAAAAGCGCGTTGCGCTCCATGTTGGATTTCAAGCGCTCTGCGCTCCACTTCAACTTCAATTAAGCGCGTTGCGCTCTAGGTGTGTTTTTCACGCATGTCCCCACGCATAAGCGTCATAGCGCTGTCCCCTTCTCCTCCGCCTCCTCCTCCTCCTCCTCTTCCTAGGTGGCTCGGCAGCGCGGCAGCCCCCTGCCCGCCGACCCGTGCCCCCAGCGCGGCCATGATGCTGCTCGCTGCGCCGCCGTGGAGTGGGCCCCTCGACGGGGGGAGGACCCTCACGGCCGCGAGCCGCAGCCGGCACCGCGCGGACCAGAGACTCCGCTTGGCCACCCGTCGCCAGGCAGAGGTGGACGCCTGGGGCTGGTGGGGCATCCCGTGGGAAGGAGCCTACGAGGAGGGCCCGTGGCAGCCCCACGAAGACGAACAGCGGAGCGAGCGAGAGGAAACCAGCCCTTGTGAGAACTGGGAGGAGAAGATAGAGCCCAACACGACCAGCTACAGTGAAGCGATCAGGGCGTGCGAGGAGGGAACGATGAAGTTGAAAACAACAGTGGTGGAGGCAAAACTGGAGCCTAATTTCACTAGAGTCTTTCCCTCGTCGCTCCTCCTCGCCACGGCTGGATCAGAGGAAACGGAAAGTAGTTCGGCTGCGGAGGCGAAGGTAATGCCAAACGTGACCAGCTACAGTGCAGAGATTATTTGTGAGAAGTGGGCGGCGAAGATCGAGCCCAACGTGACCAGCTACAGCGAAGCGAGCAAGGCGTGCGAGGGGGGGGCGGCGAAGTTGGAGCCCGACATGCCTAGGCCCAGATCTGTGACCAGTGAGCGCGAGAGGTCGGAGGCGAAGTCAGAGCCCGACGCGATCAGCTACAACGCTGCGATCAGGGCAACAGCGGTGGCGGCAAAGATGGAGCCCAATTTCATGACCAGCTACAGTGCAGAGATTTCTTGCGAGAAGTGGGAAGCGAAGATGGAGCCCAACACGATCAGTTGCAGAGGAGCGATCAGGGCGCGCGAGAGAGGTGCGACGAAATTGGAGCCCGACGTGCCCAACAGCAGCCGCATGAACAGTGAACGCAAGACGTCGAAGGCGAAGTCAGAGCCCGACAAGATCAGCTACAACACTGCGATCAGGACAGTGGCGGGGGCACAGCTGGAGCCCCATATCACCAGCTACAGCGCTGATGCCGACCCCGCGAGATGCGAGAAGCTGGGGGCGAACGCGCCGAGAGAGCCCGACGTGACCAGCTACAGCGCAGTGGGCCCTCGCGAGATGCGGGGGGCGAAGAGCGAGCCCAACGTGACCAGCTGCAGCGAGGCAGTAATGGCGGAGGCGAAGCTGGAGCCCAATTTCCCTAGCTCCTCCTCGTCCCGCCTAGTCGCCGCGGCTGGACCCGAGAAGACGGAGTGCGTGAGCAGCTGCAGCGTTAGCAGGTCCATGTGGAGAGCGCGTGCCCAAATCGCCACGGCGTGGCTAGAGGGCGGCGATGCGATAGAGCCCGATGCCATCAGCTACAGTGCTGGAATCCAATGGGGAGCGGAGGACATGCATGGGGGGCGGGGGCCCTTCCCGAAGGCTGACCAGAAGAAGGTGGAGAGGCGATGCCAAACATATCTCCGCCCAGATGGTAAGAAAAGCGGCGCGTTCACTATCGCGGGGTCGAGCGGGAGGCCCGCGTGGCCCCTCGGATCAGATTTCGACAACATGCTGCTCCTGATTGCCACGGGGGCGACGGCCTCGAGCAGAAGCGCCGGGACACGCCTCGCGCGCGAAGCTGGAGAAGAGGAGCGCAGATTGTGAGAAGTGTGAGAAGCAGCGGCGCCTGCGCGCGGACAGGTCGCCAGAGCGCGGGCGTCCGCCCGAGGTGCTTCAGAGGGGGGGCTCGGGCGACGAGGCGCGGTGGAAACAGACCTCGCCGCGTGAGAATTGAAGCTGCTGAAGAACTCCTCCTCCGCAAAGCGCTGTCGCGCGTCCTGCCGCCGTTGTGGTTCGAGCGCGTGCGCGCTGCCGCGCGGCCCGTTTTGGGCGGCGTCCGCGGCCCGCAGGGCAGGGCCGAGGGCCGCGAGGCCATTGGGGATCTGAACAAGGATCTGCGGGCCCGCCTTGGGGTGACAAGGCTGCTTCTGCAGTGGGTCCGAGCGAGTTTGCACGCTACCACTTCTGAGGTCCAGGCGAACGCGTTCAGATCGACAGTGGGCTCGGCGACGGCCGCCCTGGGTTCGACTGAGGCGTGGCAGCGCAAGCGGGCTTCGCTGCGAGCGATCTGGCCGCGGCGGTCGAGTCGCTGAACGCCGCCGCCAAGAAGAAAGAGGAGTCTTGGGGGCGCGCGTCGGCCAGGCGAAGAAGATCCAGACGTTTGACGCGCTCGAGAGCGCCTGGAAAGCACGGGTGCGGAAATTGCAGACCCCCATCGAGATCATCGAGGTGTCGCCGCCGCCCCCGTCGCAGTGGAAGGAGAAGCGCGCCGCGATCTTCGCCCAGGCCTGCGCCGGCGGGGCGCCGCCAGTTTCGAGCAACGTCGATGCTGCGACGATCGAAGCGACGGCTGCTACATTCAGTTCTAGAGGCAGCGGGGCGACATCGCTTGATGTGCCAATGTTGCACTTGCCTGGCGGCGCCCGCGAACAGCTTCCCGCGGGAGCTCCAGCGGCGATCGAATCGACAAGGCCGCCTACTGGATGCAATGATGATGGGGGGGCTGCGGCCCGTCGACGGCGGGCGCTGCGGGTCGCCCTTCGAAGGCGCCATGCGCGGCCAACGCCGTCTTCAGATCGACGACGGGCGCGTGCAATTCAGCGCGATGCGGTCTCGCAGCGACGAGTTCTTCGCCCTGGCTGACGCTGGCGCCGACGAGTGGGGCAGGGGCGCTGATGCAGCTGGTCTTGCGCCGCCGCCTGCGGCTGCGCCCGCGCCGCCGCTTGCGGCCGCTGAAGAGCCCGCGCCGCCCCCCCTGCGGCTTCTGCGCCTTCTGCGATTGATCTCGACTGATCTTCTGGAGCTCATGGGCGAGAGGGGCGCGAAGAAGAAGCTGAAGGCCGAGCTCGAGAAGGCGAAGGCGCGCGTGGAGGGGGGCGCCGGCGAACGCGGCGGCGGTGGCGGCGGCAGCGGGGGCGGCGGGGGCGGGGGCGGCGGCGGCGGGGGCAGCGGCAGCGTCGGCCCCAACGGCCGTCGCCTCCGCAGAGGCGGCTAAAAGAAGCGGGGGGCTCGCAGCGGCCGTCTTCTCCTCAGGGTCGCTATCAGGAGATGCATGGCCCGCCTATGCCGCGGCGGGGGGGCCCGAGCAAGGCGCCCCATCGAGGGGGTCCTTTGGCTTGAACGCGGCGGCGGCGGCGGGGCGGATCGAGAACGTGGGCCTCTGTGTGCGCGACGGTTGAGCAGAATGGTGATGCGATGGAGAGCTTACTCGCCTGTTTCGCCCAGGGCGAGGAGGAGACGGGGCTCGTGCTGAAGAAGGTGGACGAGGCTTTGGATGACCCCAGGGCTCCTGCCTTGGTGAACGGGATGGACCATGTCGGGGTCCAGACGGCACTGGGGCGCGAGCTGGATGCAAAGCTGGACCAGGTCTTGAAGAAGAAAAATGAAATAGCTGGAAAAACTGGAGTCCGTCATGGACAAGCTGGGGTCCGTCCTGGAAAAGCTCGAAAAGCTCCAGCAAGGCAGCAATGTGGCGACGGCGGCGTCGAGCGGCGCTGGCCACGCCGAGCGAGGACCCTGCGCAGTCGGGTGGCAGTCG